CAATCGCGGCCAGGTTCGAAGGTTGGTTCGAGAAAAGACCAAGTAGAAGCCTGTAAACTTTGGATCACTAATGTGCCAAAGTCAGAAATCTGTGCGTACTCGGACAGATCATAAGAAGGAAACGGACGCTCAGCTTGGGGGTTTGTCCTAAAGCTGGATGGGAAAACTTTTCAAAAAGGAAGTGGCATAAAGCACGGTGGAGAGGCTTTAGATGCAGAGATTATGGGGGCACAGGAAGCTCTTAAAGCAGCGTTGGGTCACCTAAGAGGAAAGGAGTACCTGGCGAAGGGAACGACGCAGTGCATTAATGTGTTGATGGATAGTCGACATGCGATAAATGCACTGAGCACGGGCAGGTCCTCGACCAGCCACGAGGAAGTACGAAAGTTTCGCGAACTATCTGGGCTAGCTCAGGTAAGAATAACGTGGGTAGCAGGACACTCGGAAATACATGGAAATGAGGAAGCAGACGCAGTGGCCAAATCCGCCCTACGAACGCTTCCCAGCGTGGAAACTGAGCCAGCAACCACCACGACAGCATTTTTACACCAAAAATTGCATCGACAGCGACAGACTTTGCCCGTCACGGTATAGTGAGCTAGATCTACTCATGCGCCGTCGCAAAGCACCAGAACTAGGGCTTTGTAGGCTACAGTTACAACATCTCAATGCAGCCCGTACGGGCCACGGCAATTTCGCGGCGTACCATCGTCGCTTCAATAATCCGCACGTTAACACGGAGTGCATGTGTAGGGAGGAAACCACCGCCACCCACTTCATACATCGTAGACTCATCGCAAATATCACGCGTCGAATCAGAGGGTTACTGTCACACAATGCCTTCTTACACAAGCTATTCGGGACTAAGTGCTTCGAGAGCTTGAAACAAATTGCGCAGGATACCAATTGTTTTGGGTATTCTCCTGTGCATTCATCTCCTACTCTCAGTGGAGATTGAATATAACTCGTCAGGAAACTAAACCTGACGAAATGGGAATCGAGGCGAGGAGTATTGCTTCCCATTCTAAATTATTTGCAATTTATCTTTTTCTTTTGTCAATTTTGGGAAAAGGAGTTCGCGTTGGCGCATATTTTTAACTTACTGCTGTTTTTGTGGTGGTTCATGCGGTGGAATCAAGCTGGGTATGTCTTAGATGTAGTTCTGGCTGTGAACATCGGTCCTGTACTCATAGTGGATTTGGAGCTTTAGCTTAGGACTTGAATAAAACAACAACAACAACTTTGAATAATTGGGGCCACAAGTAGGCCACATTGTTCCTTCGCAACGGCAGCTTGCTGAGCGTAGCCCAGTCGATTATGGTTGACACGTGGGCTAGGTTCCGTTCCCGGCACGATAAATCGAAAGTTCAAGTTTGAGTCTCTTCTATTCAGTCTTCTAACAACTTCCCGATTGAGTTTGACTGGGAGGACTTTACGAGTCACCAAGAACCCTCCAAAATCAAAGTTAAAATTCCTTTCGCTTTCAACCTTACTAACATTGTGTGCAGAACTGGGCAATTACTCGGCCTCATTTTGGACAAGCACCTCGACCGCGACATCAAAATTCTCAACTTTTCGACACATTCCGAAGACGGCGCGAACGAAGAAGCCTCACTCGGACAACGAACAATGAACGACAAAAGCTGGGGGACCGATGCCTCGGTTTTGAGCTCTCGATTTCGGAATTTCAGCCCTCTCAAATGGGGGTTGAGCGCAATGCAGGGGAGAATTTAGGAAGAACGATATGTGATTTTCAACAGGCTGTTGGCACAGTTGGTCGGGTACTGGATGTGCTTTCTAGAAGTGGCAGGTTGGATTCCCACACGGCCTGTTTAAGGGGGGACTACGGCTGCTCGTCGTGAAAGAGTACAGGAGGAATTATTGAGGTTTTCCCACGAAGGTTTTCCCTCAATACATGGTCTTAGGATCATAGTGAATGCGTTCCTACCTATTCGACCCGATGTAATAAGCATGAGGCACGTATTTGGAAAAGTCAGGCACCGGATGGGCTTTGCTGGAGAATGGAGGAACTTGTAATCTGGATGTTCCCATGCGTGTCGTGTCCATTGGATGGAGTGCAAGACTGAACACCTGTACGCGGTGTCCTCTACGAACCTGGGAGTGAAATATTCTCCCAGAGCCAAGTTCAGTCACATTTTGCAATATCAAAGAAGTTGGCCCACAAGGCAAAATTTAAAATCACTCCACCACGTCGTTTTTCCGCTCCCAATGAGTTTGACGCCTACCTAAGTCTCATCAAGTCTACTATTACGACCTAGTACATCCTCATCACAATGACCACACCTCTCTTCGACTTTCTCTGGTCTCAGTTGACCACCAAATACACGCCCACGCCGATATTTATACCCGACGGAGGAATCAAAGCGTGGCGCACAAATCTGGGAGACTATTCTTTGGGATAGATGTGAGAGAGATTAGGACAAGTTTACAAGATGATGCGACGGAAGGATTTAGTCTGGAAGGGAGTGAAATTCCGAATTTTGGTAAGAGTTTTACGAATCGGGCTTTGTGCGCACCAAGACTTCGCTTGCGAGAGTGCAGCTGACACTATAAAAACAAGCAAACGATGGAAGGTGTTGTGGTCCGCTTCCTGGTGGTGTTCACTGGTATAGTCTGAGTAGCCTGGGCACCTACTCCACTTGGGAAGGAGACATCTCAGATCATATTTCGCGCGGGGAAAAGTTGAAAGATGCTGGAGGCATGTCTGGATAACCCAGGGTTTTTGAGACATTCCCCTGGGTGGGTATTCACGGATGAGGGTTAACTTGGGGTGAAGAAAAAGCCGCCATAACTTCGCAGTGGTACTTTCAAATATAATCCGAGGCATGAGTGCTGTTCCTTTACGTTGAATCATATCTTCTGTACTTTTCTTTGATATTGTGTCATAGCTAGATAGCTGCATACGCAATTCAAATCTGATGCAAAAAAAAAGCCCATTGGATGGAGTGTGTAAGCCTGGCACGATAAATTAAACTAAACTAGGCCACATTGTTGATACACACGTGACCACAGATTATGTACTTAGTTTCACTTCGGTAGTCACTTGAATCATGTGCTCTACAATGAAACTGCTACTCTTCCGATAGAAACCTACTTGAAACAACAAATGGCTCAGTATGTAGGCCGCTCAAATTCGCTACCAGTTTAAAAGACTATCCAATCAGCATTTATTAAAATAAAAATTCCCAGAAGAGGAGGAGAAGATATTAGAGCACATAACAGAAGAGCAGACCTTGCATACTGGAAAGAGATTTGCGGGGAGGAGAAATCTAAGGGCCTACAAAAAGAAGCGATAAGAGTTGCAGCGTACCTAGAATGGGCGAAATCTTGGTCTGCCACAAAGCGAACTCGACATCCTAAACAAATTGCTTCAGCAGATCCTAAAACTTGAGCAGCAGCAAAGTTCTACCAATGCCGCCATTCTGGACGTACTTAAATAAGCTTCCGGGAGTCACCATTTTCTCTCCACAAAAACCTGACGAGGGCCCAAAGTAGCTTAGCAATTCAAATTCTAAGCGAGCATATCGGGCTCAATTTTTACTTATACAGAAGAAAAGTACCAGGAGTTTATCACCCAAGTTGTATGTGTGGCTACCAATCGCAAAATCCCAAGCACATGATCATGTCCTGCCCTAAGTGGTCAATTGGTATAGGAGAAATCTGGAGAAAGGCCAAAGACCGGTCCTACGAAGCAATGATAGAAAATCCTGATGATATGAAAAGAATTACGCAATGGATTCTTAGTCATGGTTGGATAGATCAATTCCGCATGATAAATGCGGTCGAAATGCTGATTAGGGAACGAGGCAGGACTCGCACAAGGTTGGGGTCGTTACAGGGGACGTGTTTGGTACACATCGACGGCGTTACAGTGTAACTGTACTTCCTGGAGGATAAACTGCAAACTATAAGAATTAAATGTGAAAGTCTGGGGGTTTTTCACCGAGAGGTTTCCTCCGATGTAAATATATGGATAGGTTTATAGCCACCTGCATGGGCCCAAAGGGCGCCAAATCAGGATAATGAATACAAATCAATCCGTCCACAACCTCAATGACTGAGGGGTCGTTAATTCCTTATTAGTATGTTTATTTGCGGGAGGAAAGTGAGATATATTGGTACAGAGATTCATCATAATATTAAGTATGGAAAAAATCTTGATATCTATATTTTACTTATTTGTGGAAAGAAGATTTTTGGAATGGAGTCTTTTATGCTGCACCACTTCACCCGTGTTTATTATGTAATTTTCTTTAATATTTTATCATAGCTAGATAGCTGCATACGCAATTAATGTCTGATGCAAAAAAGACATCACCCGTAAAAATGCAAAATTAGGTCGGTAGCTAGATTGAACCTTCTCAACCTAGTTTGATGGGCATTCAGCGTGTTGGAATTTTTGAACAATTGTAAATCTGACAATTGCTGATCCGCTATTCTCATCCATTTCTAGCTGCCTGTTTCACACCCGACGTTGATGCCATAGTCTGCTCACTCTTAAGTCCATATGTAGCTATATTTTTACGTCCGAACCTTTCCTAGTTGATCAATCGATTGAAGCTCAACAGCCGCATTACATAAGCGCACTTTTGTGAAACCAGATCGGAAAACTCTGTAAACCTGCTCTATTATACTTGAGCATAAGCAAATGCCTAGCTAACTTCATTATTTCAACCGTAATGAAAGATTCCGACCTGCGAATGATTTTAGAGTGTATGTAAAATAGTGCTCTAGAAATGCTTGCAAAGTTCGACCTGCCAATGCGATACTTAAATGCCTTAAACAGCGCGAAAGATGAGAGATCTAATTAATTTTATACTCATTTGCTCTTATTTATATCTTAGTAAACCATTACAAGTGTTGTCATTAACCCGTCGCCATACCCCATCTGCTCCTGATAATACACATTCTCGCGACCTCCTGATTGGACGGTTAAACCGGGTCGAATTCTGTGAGGCTCGATAGGCTTTAATACGAGTTCATTGAGTTTTGAATAAGAGTATGGCGCAGTGTCCTAGATAGAAATAGATAAAATGCTTCGTCTCGTGTGTAACAAAAGATCCAAAATTCCGACCAACAATACAATGCCACGTTGGCCCTTTTCGTTCGTCGAACTATAAATAGATCAGATTCTAAAGTTCGTATGTCCTAGTTTTAGAAGAGAATGTCTCATACTGTCTTTTTAATGTGCATTGCAATGTCCTGTTCATGTGTTAGCCCGCGCTTTCAGTGTTAACAAGACAACTTTGAGTGCCAATATTATCTTGCAAATTTACCTTCTCGACACTATATTTAGACATGGCTTCTTGCGCTGTACCAAGTTTTAAATGAGCAAAGTTCATCTATAGCGTTAGCCCCAGCTTTTCTCACATACCAACTTCAATGGATTCATGCTGCATTTCTTCCGTCTATTCCAATGCGTTAATGCGCCATAGGTTTTGTTGGTAAAATCTAACGAACCATATCCACCGATTTAATTTGTGCTAAAGTCATAACTTCATTAGTGTATTGCTTTCACTTGAGCTATGTTGGAAAAGCTAGCGGAAGGAGCGAAGGCTTCCCACATACCCTCTAGCTTTTCTTTGACATTCATTTCTGCTTTTTCGCCGGACATGATCGGCGTCGTAAAACACTAGCTATAAAAGAGTATGGGTGTTATTTTGTTGGTTATAAATGAGCCTAGCTTGGAAAAAGTCTCTTGCGATTGGTAGGTCTAATAAATACGTTGAATGTATGGTGAGGCTTGTAATTCAAATAAGTCAGCGCAAAATTAGTGAAGGAATGTTGGCGTACAAGGGTTTCACGAAGTAATTGTAACAAAATGATTTAATAACATAAACCAGCGAGATACGCACTTTCACCTGCTTGGCAGGGCTTTCGATGTTGCGCCCCTATTTGACTAGTGACTAGGTGCTCTCTCGCCTAAACTGAATTAGCTAACATGCGAAATTTTCATCCATCTCATACATGATCTATCCACAAAAAAATTCCTCAGATGTCGTCCTCACGCATATTCGTCAAAGGTCTACCGCCTACTCTGACACAGGATGAATTCAAAAAACACTTTTCCCAATTATCTCTAGTCACCGATGCTAAACTATTCCCCAATAGAAGGATTGGATACATTGGGTATGCCACTGTAGAAGATGCCGTGAAGGCCACGAAGTATTTCAACAAATCTTATATCCGTCTTTCACGTATCATTGTTGAGCTTGCTCGACCTGTAAGCCTTCACCTCGATATTCATTAATAGCACTAATCCACCTAGAGCGAATTTTCGGCGTCATCTACGAGGAAAGCTAAAAGGGAAATCGAATGGCAAGATGAGAGGACTCAAAAAATACAAAACTCTGCGGTAGATCCCATTCTTACCCCTGGTGTTAAGAGGAAACGAGGGACTTATGACGAAGCAGACCCCAAACTCCAAGAATTTCTTGAAGTTATGCAACCCGCTTCAAAACCCAAATCAATGGGAAAAAACGCTCCGCCTATTCCTAGTACTTCCGATTCATTGCCAGTAAAATCCGCGGCAAATAATAACGCTGAGATTACTCATGTAAATCATGATCAGCCCGGCAACATAACCCAGCCACTAGAGTCCCAACCTTACTTCCATACTCAGAGACTGGATAACATCCCCCGCGTTAGTATAAACTCGACAGATGAAGACTGGTTACGAAGCCGAACAAGCAGAACACTTGACGTACTAGACTCAAATAGCATAAGTCTTTCTGACTTTTTGCCAAAGCCCAGAGATACTGCTATAGACACTTATGTCCAATCCTGCGACAATGATAATAAACTCAAAGATCAATCCAACGTATCTGCGGACAATATTGTTCCGGGCAACAAATCTGAACTTGAGTCGACAATGGATTCAATCAGGAAAACTGCACGCCTATTTGTCCGAAATTTGCCTTACACGGCATCTGAGGCTGACCTTCGATCTCACTTCTTGCCCTATGGACCCATGGAAGAAGTATGTGTTTATATTTTTCTAGCCATTCCTATCATGCCTCATGATGAATTTCCAGATAGGGACATCTTATGTTAACTACACTGATGAGAACTGGACGAAAATTTTAGTAGATGCTTCGTAAAATCTGAAGGCTTCCAGTCCATATCCACTTTTAAATTAATTGTGTCATAAATACTGATGTGTATTATTAGGTACATCTGCCTGTTGATTCTACTGGCGCTAGTAAAGGATTTGCATACATTCAGTATAGTGATTCTGATTCTGCTTTGCAGGCCTTCCACAATCTTGACGGAGAAGCGTTTCAAGGAAGGCTTCTACACATTCTACCTGGGCTAGAGAAGCGGGAAAATAAACTAGATGACATTGTACTTTCTCAGATGCCAGTCTCCAAGCAACGGCAAATTAAAAGGAAGTCCGAGGCTGCTGTTAAGATGTTTAACTGGAACTCTCTGTATATGGATCAAGATGCTGTGAATTCAGTTATATCAAAGCGACTAGGTGTATCAAAATCTGAATTGCTTGACCCCACTTGTACAGACTCTGCATGGAAACAAGCTGTGGCTGAGACGGCTATAATTCAGGAAACAAAGGCTTACTTCACCGAAAATGGAGTAGACTTAGATTCTTTCAAAAACAGTGAACGCGGTGACACTTGTATCCTAGTCAAAAAAATTCCACACGGAATGACAGTAGAAGAATTAAGGAAAATGTTTGAAGACTTCGGAAAAGTCCTAAGGGTCCTCATGCCTCCCGCAGGGACTATCGCCATCGTGGAATTAGATCAGCCAGTTCAGGCTCGAGCTGCCTTTGCAAGCTTAGCATATCGCCGCGTTAGAGATTCTGTTCTCTTTCTAGAGAAGGCACCTAAAAATTTATTCACCAGCGTTACTAGCAACAGGAGCATGATAGATACCGATCCTCAAGTTGTCGTTTCAGCTGATTCAAAAATTTCAGCCCATGATCTACTTGAACAGGACGTCTCTCACGATGGATTGAATACTAGCACTCTCTACGTACGTAATCTGAACTTCGTAACAAGTAGTCAGCGCCTCACAGAAATATTCCGCCCCCTAGATGGCTTTTTATCAGCGAGAGTCAACACAAAACCTGATCCCAAAAAACCTGGTCAAGTTCTCAGCATGGGCTTTGGCTTCCTCGAATTCAAAACCAAGTCACAAGCAGAAGCTGCTCTTTTGTCTATGAACGGATTCGATTTAGATGGTCACAAGCTAGTCATCAAGATATCCCACAAAGGTGTCGATGCCGCTGAAGAGCGCCGGAGAGCGGACCAGACCAAAAAAGACTCAGATAAAAAAACCAAAATCATTATCAAGAACCTTCCATTTGAAACAACCAAGAAAGACGTTAGAGGCCTCTTTAGTGCATATGGAAAACTTAGATCCGTTCGTGTTCCAAAAAAGTTTGATAACACCACTCGGGGTTTTGCTTTTGCCGAATTCATTACGCCGCGTGAAGCTGAAAATGCACTCAAAGCCCTTAGACATACCCATCTCCTTGGACGGCGACTTGTACTAGAATTTGCTTCCAGCTCAAACATGGATGCGGAGGAGGAAATCGAAAGAATGCAGAAAAAAGTTACAGCTCAAGTTAACAAAGTTGCCGTTCAAAGCATTATTGGTAGCGGGCGACGGAAGTTCATTCTCGAAGATGGAGCAGATGAACAATAATCAATCAGGCATGAACCTTCCACAGGGATGGCACTTGCTACTAAATTTAATATTTCATAGCTATCCCTTACCTAAAATCTGGGACAGAACAAAAACCATCCCTGAATTGTAAATCACCAAATTAATACCCAGCTCATAATCCTTGCCTTGGAAAAAGATGTTGGGTAATCCTACATTCCAATGTTTTTGACCTCGCGACCTCTAGAACTCTCATACGGTTCCATGATGACCTATCATTGAAGACTTCGATTCGTTTACCTCCCAGATCCCTTTCAATGAAAATATGTAAGCTCAACCTAACTCAGATGGCAGTCAATTATCATTGTACAGAGGAAAAAATTTTGATCAAGCCCCACTAAGGTCATAAGTTTCCATGGGATCTTCTTCAACGCACACAATAAGTACCAGTAAGAGGAAATAAACTCGGCCTATGTGTATGTATAATCTCGAACCAAGGAATTTGATCAACATAGATTCTTTGTCCGTTTATGTGATTTAATTTCACGTCGCTGTTCCTACCAGGTACATTATTTACCCTCGTTATATCCCTTAATCTAGGTAGTGTCATTTTATTCCCAGAAACCTTTCATGATATGCCCCCAGCCTTGAATACCGCTTTAGTTTTTGAACAATTTCTGCTCAAAAACATCATTGACAAATCGGTTGAATTATGGAATTCCTACCCAAGAAACCTGCTCAATGTCAGACTGAAAATAAGGAACTTATTAAGGATATTGAAGCATATCGTCCTTTGGACCAAAATTCATACGATAGGAGATTTGCAACTACTGACCTGCCTAATGTCTACGTCTGTCGCAGAACCCCGGATTGGTACTCTGCGTCACAAACTACATTAAATAACGCAACGCGACAAACTCCATTCCAGAGAACAATTCTAAATAAATCTAACTCTGAATGGAAAAATGTTCGAGACAATACTACACAGTGTCAAAACCCTATTCTTGACTCACCTCAGTACCAGGCCTATCGTGCTCGACAGGAGGATAGTGACGCATGTGACGAAAAAAAGTGGCCTCCAGACCTGGAGGGATTTTTTCTTGATGGTACAGTAACTGTTATAAGTTTCGCTACAATAACTGACCTAATAGCCATGATGGATATCCCTCCTATGGGGCGGCAGAAATACACCTTCAACGGAAAACCTCATGGTAGAAATGAGCTCATAGCACTCTACATCTGGATTGCGTACCGAGAGTCTCTACCATCTGGCGTTGCACCAAGTCCTCTCATGATTCGACATCGCAAGCAAATATCTAGTCATATTCAGGTCTTGAAAAAGTACTTACAAGGTCACTCTGCATGTGAGTCTTTTATTGCATAGAAGGGTCTTTCTAATATTTATCAGTCAGTCTAATATTTCCACCTATCGAGATGATTCCTGAAAGCGGATATCCGCTAGATAGTAACCCTTGCCTTGTAGCTCTCTCTCAGGGTCGCCTCCCAAATAAGAGGTATCGGGACTATATCAGAGCTAGATATCGAAGCCAGTTTGGCCAACAAATTGATAATGATTCCTTGGATGTTGCGATAACACCATTACCAACCAGGCCGGCGATGGTTTCTCTCACCATATCCATTCCCTTACCACGCGTGCTTTGGCGAGAAACTCAAACTAGCGGCGATACTCAAGGCGAACAAGTTAAAGGACATGCGATATTTGTACAATTTAAGTCAGCCTTATCCATTCAGTCTAAAGATGATACTCTAGAGTCGATACCTCGATGGCGTGAAAAATTTCCACGACTGCTTATGCTCCCAGTACCAGAAACAACAGATTATGCAATAATCCACATACATGTATTACTTGATCTTTCTCCGAAAATTGGACAAAATGAAATGGAATCTTCGAATCAGATAATCCTATCTATCCCCAACATTCAGCCAGATAATTGCGAATGTCGAGTTCTCACAACTCTCACTCAGTCCTTTGAGATTCCTGACGATCCTAGAGTCGATGGATCAGTTGAGGTAGGTGTTCTGCAGGGTAAGTTCTATGCTAGAACACCAACAGACTCCCAGATCATGATTCCATTTCCGACTTATGAGTGGGCTAAGATGTATTCATGGCTCTACAATTTCAGAACACGGTCCACCAAACGAACTTCAAACTCTTTTCCTCAATCAATAAATGTAGAGCATTTATCTATGTATCAGGAAGTATATTGTAACTCGGGCCCCGCCACTCCCTTTAAAAAACAAGCAACACTTCTGTGGACTTTCCAACACGTAAATCAAAACAATAGGAACTGCACTAGTTGGAGAAATGTTACAATGCCGCCAAGTTACCTCCTACATTCAATTCCAGCTATGCGCCATCAAACCCGTCCCAAATCCTCAGACTTATCGGTATATCCATGGCAGCACCATCTGCCTATTGACATGGGATTAGAGGCTGGATTTCTCTCGCGCTCAGAAATGTCGGCCCCATCTGTAGTTGGTGAGCAGGTACCTACCATGAATGGCCATAACTTTTATCAAAATAACAGGCAACTAAGTCACTCATGTCAAACTTTGCAAGGTTCTGAAGACTGCTCAATTATAGAGTTTGATATGACAAGGCCTATGCGAGACCCTAATTTGAACTCTCAAAAATATCAGGAGAACCATCCAGTTAACTGGAATCTTTCAGGCTTTTACGGTGATGAAAGTATAGGCGAAGCTCTTAGTAGCAACGGTAAAGTAACCCCCACGGCAACTCTAGATTGGATGTGTAATGATTTAAGAGTTGAAACCCCGCCTTTAACCTGGGACTATATCACAGAGTCCTAATTACTGCAGTATCAGACCATGACGGTTGGAGCTCAAACTAAGTTTTTAAATGGAAAGAATTTTTACCCATACTGAAATACTGAATGTATGAAAATAGTTAGCTCTGTATTTATTTTGTTAGATTGCGGAATTGACTGGACGCTATTCGAGGGAGCTTTAGCATAATGTGGAGGCAAGCTTCCTTGAAAAAATTATAATCTTGTATTTATCGGAACTGTTTCGTAAAGTAATTAATTTTAATTGTGTTGCAACACTATTTCGGATGTTATATTTGATTTGTGTTATTTTTTGTTCAAATAGCATGGGCCGCAGCCCATATACGCTAACTACACTTAATGGTTAAGGACGCTAAAGCTAAATGCTCTAGTAGCTGAGGTACCCAGCCAACCAAATAGCTAGAAGGACATGTTGCCAGAGGCTGCATTTGCTTAACACCTGTAAGCCAGGAAAATACAAATCTACTGTGCAAACTGAGGTTACAAAGGTTAGACAAGCGATTGAGCCATTGCTACTCTGTGCCTTAAAAGGAAAGGGGACACAGTCCCATACGCCGTGCTGATGGTTTCATTTGTATCGGTTATCAGAGATTTTCTCAAGGATGATTGTATAAGCGCGCAGGGAGAATTGGGCGTATTTCCGTGAGAAGGCTCGTTATCACGAGCTCACTGGTAGATTTGGAGGCCCCCCTGATTGTACCAAAAAGGTTTAAAACTTACTCGGGAATGTCCTAGGCGTAAGCAATTTTGAGATGCACACGAGCCAAGATAGAGGTCGCAATGTGCCGGTAATTACCTAGTCACGTGGCTTAGTGCAGCTCGCCGTGCCGCTGCCGGGGCTCACACGCCTGCTTGCAACTTGTACACAGAGGCATGTCCCTTATCCTCTGGGCCGGCGTGGGGAAGCTTCACTTTCGCTACCCGCCTCATCACGCTTCCCCACAACATATAGAAGTATACGAGCCTCATAGTATTTTGAGCCATTGACGAATCCTCCTTGGATAATTGAAGAGACCAAAAAAGACTCACTAATTCGCATCAACGGTCCCTTGGGACCAACAAACACAAGTGTTGGCAGGTTCCGCAACTTCTCGAGCAGTCTCCCTGAAAGGGACGTCCAAATTATTCAGACGGATCAAAGCTCTGAGATGGTAACTCAGGTGGCGGAGATGTTATATTCCAGTTCGAAAGTAGAGTCTGCTCTGAAGCATTCCCACTTGGAAAATTTAAAGATCCATATGATGCAGAAGCTCACGCTGCCTTCGAAGGAATTTGGGCTGCTATTAAACTCCCCTCAGCTTGCTTCGCAAACGACGTATAGATGTTTATAGATGAGATAGAAGTTGCAAGAAAATTGCTTACCACGTCACCATCAAAGTCATCACAATCAATTTTTGCAGACTCCCCAAAGGCAACCAAGGTGTGACGGGCTGTGCCCGGATTGGGACTGGTCACTAGGACCACCCCGGCTAGATACTTAAGCGTCAACGAAGTAGCGCTTACAGATACGCGAAAGGTTGCATAGGGAAGAATGCGAGGTTGCGCATAAGGAAAGACCTAAATGTCGCATAAGGGTTAATGTAAGGTTGCGCACAAGAACGAGTCTCAGTGTTGCATAAGGATAATTGCAAGGTTGCGCATGAGGAAGGATCCAAGGGAGTACGTACTAAGGGGGGGAGGCTGTCACAGGAAAGAGGGTAGCCGGGGAGAATGGAGTATTCTCAGGTAGGCTAGGAGGGGAGCTTAAACGCGACGCTGAGGAGGACATAAAGGACAGGAGCCGTCGTAGGAGGATTAGCTTCCCAAGGAAAAATTATCAATTCCTATTGAGTTAACGTCTTTCAAGTACTTCTGAATTCTTTAAACCTTTCACACAAGGCTTGGGAATCGAGAAAACGACTACCTCACACCCAGGAAGGGCAGATAAATATACGCTGGGTTCCTGGAAATTCGGGAATTAAAGGTAACCCACGAGCTGATTGTGAGGCAAAAAAAGGAGCAGCTATGTCCTACCAACACTCACCTAAGTATTTGTTTACCTCACTACTGGAATGGGACTTCACAAAGCTGATGGAAGCCCGGAATAATTGGTGGTCCACGCACATCCCAAACTCATGTGCTCAACTAGAAATTCAGATAGCTCCACACCTTCCAAAGGAGCTTTTATTAGGTCGAAAAGCCCTAGGTCAGATAATCGCAGCTAGAACTGGTCTT